TAAAGAAACACCAATACCACCAGCAACGATTACAACATCCCTCCCACTGACAACACAACATCAATAAAATAATAATAACATTACGATGATAAATACATGTATAGTTATGACAGCAATTAGAAATAACCCGATGCTTTTATAACAATCACATTAACAAAATACTCAAATCGCATATTGTATATTTCTTTCCAATGAGTTTGAATTTCAGTCTCCACAATTTCTCTAGCTTCCTCGCGTATTAAAAGTCTGTCTATACAGGTATTATTTTGGTCTCCCCATCTGTCTACCCTTAACCAATTCTCTCTCGATTTATTCTAACCAATTATATTTCTCTTCCACGGTTCACCCGTCCTTTTCCCCTTTGAATTGCATTCTGGTTTCTGTTCATAACCCTTTGCCCCCTTACATCCTCACCGCTTCCTCTGTTACAGCAAACTTGTTTCGACTAACTTTGCTTAACATAGGCGAGACCGTATTGGGAGTTACATCAGAGAGCTTTCATCTATTTTTAAACACACCTGAACGTTTTGCTTTCCGTGGTGTATCCGGTCCTACAATCGAATTTCAACAAATATTATGATTTACCCGTGATGTCAATGAGCTGCCAGACTGGAGCCTACGCAGCTACAGTTAGGCATTAACCATTTTTTTACTCAAAATGAAACGCAATTGTATGCTACCATGGTTGTTATAGGGACCACATCTAAACGGATTAGCTCTATTGTGGTTGAGGTGTTGAAGCAACTTGAAAAGGTTGAGATGCGTTGCGGCTTCTTTCAACTTAATTAATAATCAGGGAATTTACATATAGCACATGGTACAAAATTGACCCCAAGTATTCACAGATCTTTTACACATGGAGAAGTTCCACTTTGAGCATCTTAAAATAATAACTGCCAAAGTCCTAGATGTGCTTCATGAATACCTTTTGTTTGACCTCTTGAAAAGAATACTTCCACATGCGTATCATAGAATGTACCGTTGGTGCATAAATGACTGTTACATACTTTCATGAGCGCATATCCAGTATTCATCTCTGTGGGTTTTACCATTTTGGTACAAATGACCTTTATCTGCCCATGCGCAGATTGTATCTATGAACTGGCTTATACTGGTGTGTTAATTTTGATATTCTGGTTTCATCCTTGCAGTGAAAGGGAACATAAGACCTCATCGAAGATGTGTGTTAGAGAGAGAGAGAGAGAGAGACAGAGAGAGAGACAGAGAGAGTGAGATAACTATGTTTTACAATGGACCATAACTGTGTAAGTGTGTTTATAATGTATGGACATTACAACGATCCATTATCATAACGTCTTATATGCAGTGTTATAATAATAATAATTTTTTTTTTTTAATGAAAAAAAGGTGGAATAAACAGGTCGTATTATTCCAATGTGAGTGCTGGCCATCCCACCCCAAATAAATCGATGCCCCGAGTTATACCCCTACCCTATGTTCACCCCTTTAAAACAATCACCTTAGCCAAGTTCCTTTAACTAGTCCACTGTGTATTCTCAGATAAGGGGAAGACCCAACCACTGATCCTAATCTCGGGATATTGTATTTTCCGCCCGAAAACTTTTTTTCTCCAGAGCCCAAACCACGTGACTTCATTTCTTTATCCAATATACTCCTGTCCCTAATCCAAAGTGAAAGCTATAGCCGTCAAGAGTGTATTCGGAGGGTTATTAATCATTCCTTATCATATGTGGTATTTTAGTCTTACGTCATTACGGGGAGACGCTTCTTCCCCTGATATCGTCGATTTTTTAAAACATTTCCGAATCGGTTTGAACGGAGGTAGAGACTCTCAGGGGAGATAATGTCCGATGAGAAAGAAAGGGAAGGGGAGAGAGGAAGAAAAGATGGGAGCAGTGACAAGAGAAATAGAGATTGAGTTGGATGGGAGGAGAGAAGAATGAGAGAGAGAGAGAGAGAGAGGGAGAGAGGGAGAGAGAGAGAGAGAGGGAGAGAGAGAGAGAGAGAGAGAGAGATGTAAGAAGAAGACGTGTACAATGCTTCCATTAATCATTTCTCAAGTATTTTCTTTCAGATCTTGTATTTATCTTCTATGACTATTAAAAACATATCCAAATTGGTTTTGGAGGAGGAAAAGAATGTCGGGAGAAATGATATTGTCAGATGAGGAAGAGGGAGATGGCAGTGAAAAGAGAGAAAGAGGTGGGAGGGGATGAGTAAACGAGTGAGAGAAGGAGAGAGTGAGAGAGAGAGAGAGAGAGAGAGAGAGAGAGAGAGAGAGAGAGAGAGATGTAAAAACGAAGATGTGTACAATGCTTCCTTTTAATTATTGCTCATTTTTATTTTCTCTCAGAGCTGGTATTTCTAGTCTATGATTATGCAGAGAGACTAGAAACGTATCCAAATTGATTTTGACGCCAGAATCTCGGGAGAGATGATATTGTCGAATTAGTAAGAGGGAGATGGCAGTGGAAATAGAGAAAGGAGTGGGAGGGGGAAGAGAGCGAGAGAGAGCAAAAAGAAACAGAGAGAGAGAGAGAGAGAGAGAGAGACAGAGACAGAGACACAGAGAGGGAGAGAGAGAGAGGGGAGAGAGAAAGAGAGAGAGAGGGAGAGAGAGACAGAGACAGAGAGAGACAGAGAGGGAGAGAGAGAGAGAGACAGAGACAGAGAGAGAGAGAGAGAGAGAGAGAGAGAGAGAGAGGTTTAAAACGAAGACGTGTACTATATGCTTCCCTTTAATCATTTCTCATTTTTATTTTCTCTCAGAGCTGGTATTTCTAGTCTATGACTATGAACAGAGAGACTAGAACATAATTTTTATCCAAATTGATTTTGACAGAGGAAAGGGAAAAGATATTGTCAGACGAGGAAAAGTGAGATGGCAGTGAAAAGAGAAAGAAAGAAAGTGATGAGAGGGGAAGATGTGGGGGGGGGGGGGGAGAGTAAAAGATGAAAGAAAGAAAGGAAGAAAAGGAGAAAGAAGAAAAAAAGAAAGATAGAAAGGAAGGAAGAAAGAAATAAAGAAAGAAAAGAAGCTTATACTTTCCTCCTTCCACCAACAAAAAAACAGAGAAACTAACTAAAAAATAGAAAAATATGTCGAGAAACCTAAAACTAATGCGATATCTTTCTAGCTGTACTTCAATAGAAAATGTGATTGAATCTAATACACACAACGTATCAAGATACTGTATTGGCTAGTTAATGATGCTTGGAGACCAACAACCGGCTAGGACTGTCATTTTTTGTGAAGAAACAAAAGAGAAATAAGAAGAAGAAGAAAAAACACATAGCCCATCATTGCTACAGTGAGAATTGAGAAAGAAAAAACCCCAAAGGAAAACAGATGAAAGCGAAGCGGAAGTTCGTAAACTAATAAAACACACAAATGGGTTATTCCTGGGGGTGATTCGACGCGATGAAATGTCAAAATGTTAAGATCCACGTCACAATTTCGATTTCCTTCTGTTTTCCTTCAGATTCAACCCGTCTTGTTTTCTGTGTCAACCTGCCGGGGGATGAGTGTGTTTAGCAGCTAACGAATGAAACATAATTTCGCGTCTGGCTGCTTAATCGCCAACGTCACTTTATATTTCCTAGAGTGGGTTTCATGTGGGTTCTTCCAATTCTTTTTAAATAATGTGTTTCATCGAGCTCGTGAGTGTGAAAAGTTCAGAATGCACCCTACCCTTTCGGAAGATAAAAGACATCTTCGTCGTCATCGTCATCTTCACTGCCATCCTCCTCATCATCATGAATATTTCCATTGTCATTATAAATCATGTCACTGATATTGATCATAGACTTTTGTCATCAATATCGTGATCACCATCATGCGCCATGTGAATATCATCATCTTCATCATCAATCGTTCTATTGTCGATATACTACATGTATTATTGATAAAGATTATGCATTGTGATCATGCAGTATTATGATCATCACCATCATCATTATAATCGTCACCACCATCATCATCATTATAACCATCATCATCATCATCATCATCATCATCATCATCATCATCATCACCTTCCTCATCCCCACCATTGTCACTATCATCATCATTTCATACAATACTATCAACATCATTGACATTTTCAATATCCCTACCTCAAAACAACATCATTACTTCATTATCATATCATTATCAAGCACAATTACTCTAACTCTCAAGCTTGCAATGACTTCCAGAGCGATCATTGCTTCTCCAACTTACTGATATCATCTTCAATACTATCCATCTCCACAACACTGTAGACATGATGCATACTTCAAAAACTTGGATATATAGGCATGTTCACTTCATATTCTTTACATTTATTGCAACACACAACATCCCACTTGATATAAATATACAAATACACACAAATATGTACATACGTAGTCTCATAAATAGAATATAAAGTACTATAAGTACATAAAATTCATTATGCTTTGAAATCAGCTGAAATCTAAAGTAATTTATACCCATTCTTTGTAGTACTGGGTGCAGCTCTTTTTCCTTAAAGCCTGTCTGCACTAGTTTGGCCAGGAGGTATTAGACCTCCCTGGATGGTCACTGACAGGTGGTTATCTCATCAAATCAGCTCTTAATTAAATTAAGAAAAAGGGGACCGTGGGGGATCAATGGTCACCAATTAGGCATTGTTTGCTATATAGAGGGTGCAAGCAGCTATAAGTAGTGCAGTGGGGCTTAAGCTATTTTGAAATCCATGCACTCTAATCAAAAAGTTTAATATGAGTACCATCAAGGTATAAGTTCAAGTGGATGCATAATATTTTCCTGAAAACTAATTTTGCAGGTTTTTGTCTTCTTAATATTCCTGACTTTTGCTGTCAGATTTGCCTCAGCTTTAAAACAAATTACTTGTTCATGTTTAAAGCGAAGAATAACTACATATTGAGGATTGAGGTGTGAAATCTATGATGCCAGCAATAAAAATGTAGTTCCATATGCAGCCATCTGTGTAGGTGCATTATAGTGACTTTAATTTTAAGCAACTTTTCTTTTCTTTTTAAATCCGCTATTCCAAACAAACCATATACATACCGTAATGATAAACTTTTGGAACGACACATTTTTTTCCTTAAAAGCAGTCTAATAAAAAGTAGTCATCATTTACCACATTTTGGGGTCATTTTCATGTAACAAGTCCAAATACTCGTGATTACCTGTTCAAGCTAAAGTAAAATTCTGGACATGCAATTGTGAAAGAAACTTCTGAAAGCAATTGGAAAAGGTTTAATATGTAGTGCATAAGTATGATGTATACTGCAAAGCTTTGGAATGATCAAAAAGAAATTTACTTGATCTCACTGAAAAAAATCATATGCCACAGTACACAGAAACAGGTACATGGGACTCTACCTTCTCTTTAAAGAGACACATTGGCCGGGAGCTCGTAAGATAGGTCACAGAGTTGCCAATTTGTGTTTAATTGATCACAACTTCAAAAGTTCATAACTTTCTTATTTTTAAATAATTAAGTTTAATCAGAATTTGCTCAAACTTTACTCACCTGCTTCTTCACATTTATGTGCTTCTTTTAAAACCAACTTAGTATTAGGGTTGACTTCCCCCTTTAAGTCTTTAAGCCCGCAGTAAATACCCACTTCCTATACAGGTGTACCGAGCTTTACTGATCACTCTGACAGGATCTGTCAAGGGGGGGGTACTCGTTATGTGACGAATTGTCAGAGAGTGCACTACCTAGGAATGCAAGCTCTCACACTATTAATAAGCCCCATTCACACTTGGCATGATAACCCCCCTCCCCCCACCTCCCAAGAAGGAAAAAGCTGTGGCAAAATGACACGAAACAAGCATAGTGCAATTCATATTTTTGTGCCTTACAACATACATGTACGTTAGTACATGTAGCACCGCTAATTTTTTTCTTTCCACTCCCATTCATTTACAAGTAAAATTTTTTGATTTTTTATTGCGGACCTTATTTCTAGGTGGTTTGCTTAGACACGTGTGAAGGCATCTTTGAAGGTGTGGAATTGAGTTGGAGTTGAAAAATACATGCAGGTGTTAACAGGTTCTGCACCTATCACTCAAAGGTAGAGAACTCACTCACATTGCCAATTTGAAGATTTTGCATAAGGTCGCACAACAAGGATTAAATTATTTTTCTTCGTCACTTTTTGGCAGTAAATCAAGTAATTACATTGCTTGGGATTGGGAAAATTAACTGACCCAAAATTTCACCAATGTTATATTTATTAAATTCATTGAATACAAAGTATATTGAACCCCAAATCAATAATTAATTATATTAATCATAACAATGACACTGGATTCTGATATGGCACTCATTTCAGCGACACTCTAGGCACTCCACCAACATTAGTGAATTTTAAAAATTTTGTGATACGTGTGACGTCCATTCAAGGCAGTACATTAAAAGGATGTCGATCGTAGCAATCCACGTTGTCGTTGTGCTAAAAGTCCCTATTATCCTATCTTCGACCAATATGTAACCACCACTACAGTACTCGAAGCATCCCAGGAATTACACCTGGCAGATCCCTATTCCTATCACTACACCTGAACAAAGGTAGCTTTATTATTATAAATGAAGCAATATTCACACTCTAACTCTCTTTTGAGCAGCCAATCAGAACTGGTTATTCTTTCCAGCTCTTTGTTTCTTTAGTTTCCATTTATATTGTCCACTTCAGCTTTCTGTTCATTCATGTGGTTTACTAATTACTCTGATGAGTGGAAGATGAAAAAGCTTCAGAATGTCTTTATTCACTCCTATTCTCAATTCTCTTATTGGTAGTCAAATGACCGGAACAGAATACCCTGTCCACAGATATGACAGGTATTACTAATAGACTGTGAGGTGGGCTGATCAGTCCCTTTAAGTAATAAGTGCATTACCTGTCAAGCTCACAACTATATGAATCACCACAATCCACGGATAGGGACATAACCACATGTAAATTGCGGGGGAGAATACATTCAATGATAACATAATTGCCTCCCAAACCATTGCCTCTATGAACTCCAGGGATGCCAGTTAGAATTGATCAGAGGGCCTGAAAATCACCTAGAATGAGCTCAGTATTTTGTACACAAAAAAGCCTAAACTATGGTCTGAAAAAAACTTGCCAGGGCCTGAATTCTGGCATCCCTGGAACTCTCAATAGACTTTAATCACTGAAGATTTATCTCATTAATATTATAGATTACCATGGTCTGAAGAAATTACTCTCCAGGCATGTTGTACACCCACTAAGACTAAGAGCCACATTGGTAACCTACTGGGTACTGTAAGCCATTGTTTTGTGATAAGCAGACTGTCCAAATCCTATGATCACAGATTTAGATCACCACAGCAGAGAAGTTCACATCGTCAACAGAAACTTAGCAGCCATGTTGGTACACCCACAGGCAGCCATGTTGGTACAACCATGTGCAAGCACTATGGGAGCAGGTAGTCTGTTCCAATTTCAAGGATCACAGGTGTCAATCACTGCAACGGATAGTATTAGTAGGAGATGTCCAGCCATGTTGGTACACCAATTGGTAGCCATATTGGTAAGCCCATCAAGAGCAGATAGTTCTGTCCAAATTCAAATATCACAGTAGCAGTTGATCACTACAGCAGAGTCTCTGGACACTGTGCAGCCACATTGGTACACCAAGGGGAGAAGCCCTTTGGTAAAAGGAAAATTCTGTCCAATTCCAGAGATCACAGTAGAAATCCTTCACTACAGTATAGAGAAACTGTGCTGCCATGTTGGTACACCCACTAGCAGCCATATTGGTACACCCTTCAGTAGCAAGTATCCTGTCCATTTGCTATGTGTCAATGATTAGATAAGAGTCGATATTGATCAGTACGGGTAACCTGGGCCTTGCTGTGCCTGTGAGCCATACTGGTACGTCGGAGTGACAGGACGGCCGTACTGGTCTACTGATTCAGCATAGACCTCGATGGGGTTGCCGTATTCATCTAAAGGTTGCCCATCTTCCGTCAGATATGCGACCCTTGACCCGGGCCTGAGGGATTCATACTCTGATTGATACCTGGATGGAAAGAGAAAAATATGTGATATTGAAACATATTGCTAGATGTAACAAATTTCATTAGCCAGTACTTTTTAACATGGAACAGATTTGTTTACACTTCATGCAGTTGTTAGGCATAAACAGTGCAAAGTAGTAGGTGAGTTTGACATGATAAATGCATTCAATTTTTAAGGTAGACAAAAGTAGGCAAAAAAAACAACAACACTTAAACACTGTAAACCATATTTATGATGCTCAAGATTTTGTAATACATGTATCTTATCTTTCAAAATGTTAAAATAGATATATACACAATCCAATCCAAAAAGAGAAGATTTTCAATGACGTTCACTAGTACACACATTTAACCCATTAAATACCACTTGACTCTGGTTAAACAAACAATTTCTATTGAGTCCTGTCTGAGTAATATCTGGCTTAATAGTCAATCTGTTAAGAGTAAACACAAAAGCGAAAAATAATACTTTTTTGATGTGTAATTAACCTAGACATAAATTTGATTCTTTTGTTAAAAATGAAAATAATACAAAATTTCCTCACCTGTTGCCATACATAGCAGAAGCTGGTCTTCCCAGGTACTCCCCGTTCTGTACATTGCCGTATTCATCAACGTACTCAGGTGTCACCTGGCCATCGTACATCTCTCCATCCTCATACCCTGCAGGAGGTAAAATCGATATGATTTGAAAAGGAAATCATGCATCGAAGGATGAGCGGGAAAACGGGTAAACCAAATTTAATTGTCATTTAAAGGTAAAGACCAGTATTGGAAACGCCCCAATTTCAAAAAATGAAATGGAAGCTCTCATTACCAATCATGTGAAAGAATATGTTTTGACTAATACATGATGATAAAAAATTTGCCGGGAAACCGCCTACTAATTCATATATTTGGTAAATTTGTTTCTCTCATGGTCTGTGAGAGATATAGGGTAGTCCCATATACATCTTTCTGTGTATAGTGCTTGTAACTTTACGAAGAATAGGCCAAATTTCTTATCATTTTGATGATTCCAGAACCTTGCAGATGCTAGGTGCTAGATGATCAACCTTTTCTGATCGATTTCACAACGTTTCTTTCACAATGCAATCGCATGACCATAACTGGTCTTTACCTTTAAATACAGAGAAACATGTATTTCAAGATCACTCAATAGAGACAAGAAAAAATGGTCTTTTTATAGGCAGGTGGTCTTTATGTACAGGTTGTTTAGTACATGTTTCAATTAGAAAACATTCTCGAGGAAAAAGAAAAATGTAGTCTTTCTCTACAGGTTGTCACTAAAGCAGGTTTGACTGTATAACAAATAAATATGCCATTAAAACTCACAGTTAATAATCTGTGAGCATTAATTCTGAAATATACTTTCTTATGAAGCATCATTTCAAACTTTGAAACCCCACATGCAAAAGGTTGGGTGATCCCACTTGGAAAGGACATTATGAGATGATTGAGATCAGATAATGTCTTTAAATAGTTACGATTAATTCAATTATATATTGCAACTTGGTGTCAACCTCAACCTGTACTATAAAAGAGATATGATTTTGAAAGTTTTAGATCGATTAGATGATTAGGGGTCAATATGAATCAATTGCAGCTTGTTATGAGACATTGATTCTGATTCCTGGGTGATTTTACAGACTGTAATGTGGTTCTAGGTCAAATAGCTGTAAGGTAACATTTCTGGAAATCAATTGCAACAGAACTCGTCTGGTTTTTCAGAGAAAAGATCAGGTCTATCTAGGGTTTCAAATTCAAAGAAGATCTAAAAAGGCAGTTTCTCTCATTAATAACCATCAGGTAGCATCTAAAGCCATTGCAACATCTGATTCCTGGATGATCTCAAAGACCACTGTTTTAAAATGAGGTAATGTCTAGAAATATGTTGCAACACTTACCTAGGATTTTTGATATCTGAAAGACCTTAATGTTTGCATTTCTTGGTTAAATGACCCTGAGACAGCTGCAAAAATCTATTGCAACAACTAACCTGGTTATAGCAGAGATCTGATAAATCTATCTAGGATGTCTGATTCATGGAAGACCTTACCGTTTGCATTTCTTAGTTAAATGACCCTGAGACAGCATTGAAAATCCATTGTAAGAACTTACCCGTTTGTCCATAGAATAGATCTGGTAAATCTATCTAGGATGTCCAATTCCTGAAAGACCTCAAAGTTTGCATTTCTTGGTAAAATGAACCTGAGAGAGGGTCGAAAATCCATTGCAACAACTTACCTGTTTGCCCAAAGAATAGATCTGGTCTATCTAGGATGTCTGATTCATAGACGATCTCAAAGACAGTTTCTCTGATTAATAACCATCAGGTAGCATCTAAATCCATTGCAACATATGATTCCTGGATGATCTCAAAGACCACTGTTTTATAATGAGAAAAAAATGCAGCACTTACCTGTTTGTCCATAGAATAGGTCTGGTCTATCAAGGATATCTGACTCCTGGATGTAGGGACTGTAACTCTCATCTCCGTACATGAGTCCTCCTTCACCATCGTCTATCTGCTGTGACTCCACCATCTCCAGCCATTGGGAGTTGTGCCATCGGAACTTCTCCAGCTTGATCTTCCTGGCCCACTCTTCATCAAATTCCTGCAAATAGAACACAAGTCATGCATTAAAATTTAAAAGTACTCAAGATATAGGTATGGAAATATTTGGGAAAAAAAGAAGACAATATTGAGGGAGGAAACAGAATAATTTGGATATTTATCTAGAGGTAGGTCCCTCCGAGAGGACCTAAAGCCGTCGGTATTCTGGTTGCTTACTAACAAGCATTTATTGCTTTCTTAGCAGTCAGGTAAAATAACCACCACCACCACTACGTAGTAGAAAGAGATAATCATGGGGTACGTAAGTTCTATACAAAAAAGAGTAAAAGAATAGAGAAAAGAAGTGTGAGAATAAAATTAAAACATAAAAAAGAAACAGTTTAAATGGTCATATGTACTAAAAAGGGAAGATATAAAGCAAAAAGGAGAGGGAGAGAGAGAGAGAGAGGGGGGGGGGGGGGGAGAGGGAGAGAGAGAAAAAATAATTGAAAGAAAAACAGAGAAGGGTGATAGGGGAAGTGGATAGTAAAATGAAGGGGAAACCCCTATGACATCATTTCCCCCCTTGTCACCTTTTCAACTTCTTTAACGTCACACTCCATGTTTGATAACTATGACACAACATGCCATGAAACTGAAACTTCACCAGGAGCAATAAATCAACATCATAGCAAAACCTTTCATCTCCTGATGCCTTGGGAGAGGAAAGGCCTACCTAACACTCCCTCTTAGAGTGAGAAGGCAGTTCTATTTCCTCAATGAAATATGTTGACTTATGAGCTGCAAAGCGCTTCCTCCTGTTCTACAGAATGTATGTAACTCATTAAATAGTCACTTATCTTGCAAGGTAACAATCTAGGTTCTGCTTCATTCTACTACTGATTTCATCTTGCATTCTTATCAGATGAATTGGCTACACTTATGAATATCAACATTTTTTCAGACTTGACGGTTAGACTTAAACAACAGAATATCAATAATGTAGACAATGTCTTAGATCGTTTAGTAAGGGTTTTGATATAAAGATTTTGCCAATTCATTAATTTGAGGGTACAACCTTTTTAGTTTATTCTTTGTGAATGATAGTGAAAGAGTATTATTAAGAAAATTGATATCTCACTTTAACTTATTGAAAACAATTCACCCTATAATATCAATCATCCTCATTTCAAGCATCATTTCAAAGTCCAATATCTAGGTTATAAACCATTAAACACAACCAGCCAGTTTGCAGGAATTGTTTTATTTTGTTTTGTTTTAAGGGGGGGGTGGCCACACCAGATAATCTTGCATGCTAGCTAATAATCTTCAAGTGGTAAACGTTAATATCATCAATTTTTCAAAGAGAAACTTAAATTTGTACCTGGTAACTGGTTGGCCTCATATGGTGAGCTGAACTGTGCCGGAAGTGTTTACTTCCATAACAATTTTTAAAGATATTAAATTTACTTTGTACCGAGGTCAATTTATTACGGAGCAATTTCTCAGAGACATCGAATACTGAGCTTTAAACGTGCCGTCTTGGCTACGTCCGTTTCATTTCTGAGTCTGATCCAACTAAGGAAACAGCTTTATTGTGGAAAGGAACCACGGGGGAATAAAACTTCGTTAAATTGGAGGACATTCTCCTTACCAGGGTGGCATGGTCTATATTAAGAGTTGGGAGCTCACATTAAATTTCCTACTTGCCATTATCCATTAAAATGCATACATACAGCCATTATTTAAATGGAGTCACAGACAGGGCAATTTTATGAATATCTGTGATTCAGCTCTTCATTTCTTGTGCTTTCTTGTCATTCTCTTTCACCATGATCTTTACAGAATTGTAACTTATCAACTTTATGTGTGTTTTGAGAATTAAAAAGAAAAAGATATACCGGTAGAGATTTAAAAAAAAATTATTACAAATTAAACTTAGGTTTCATCTTCATACATTAAAAAATATATACATATTGTTTGTTATTATTTGACATTCATTTTTTTTGTTTAAACTGTAATAATAATTAATAAACAATAAAATGATATGTTTAAATTTAATGCTTCATACATCTTTGAGGGCTCTAAGCGCTATACAGATATACTGTCCTAGTCATCAGATTCAGTTTTGCCTGCACGCAAGGTATGCACATTCTCCACTTCCTGGGGAGCGTTTGAGCCAGGCACCGACTGTATAGGTCGAATTTGACATCAAAGCCATAACAAAATGTGAAGAGTTGAATATCCTACAAGCATAAAAGAAGAAGGCTGAAACGTTCCCGTCATTTGGTTTCATTTAACCCCCATTTCCTACCATGACAAGCAACATTTTTTTCTTCTCTCGTTTTTTTTCTTCAATTCTACAAGAAAAAAAATTAAGCTCACCAAGTACTAGTACTTAAGTGGGACTACCTGATCTAATGAAAACCACATGACATTTTAGATGTAGGTATATGTACAGTTATCATTTAGATCTTTCAGGGGGGGAAGAGAAACATGTGACAAGCAGACCTCGCACTGTAACTTCTCTTCCACTTCCACTCTTTCAAGTGTATTTTTAGATCAGGTGCTGACTAGTCTGAGATATTAGACTCTGTTTCCAGTTTAAAGGTTCTCAAGGAACATTTCTTAGCCGAAAATTATCAAATATAATTAGTTTGAGCATTCTTTTGCGCTTTAAAAATACAAGACTTTGAAGAGAGGATGCTAATCTGGTTGTGGACAGAGATGTGTGCAAATTTGCAAATGTTTACAACTTTTATCTTGAGATTACATCTGGATAGTAAACAAGTTTTTTGTTAAAGGGAAATCCCCTAAAAGTACCCAGTTCTGAAACTAAAATAGAAACTATTACAAAAATGTCAGATTTCAGACTTGATATGAGATCAGTTGATGTCTGTTTTTTTTTTTCTTTCTTTCTTTCAAATACTGCATTAAATTGTATGTACATAACAAATGGATAAGGAGTGGGGCAAATTATCCCCTGCTGTTACATATATTATTATCTTAATTTTTTTTGTTTTTTTGTTGTTGTTCTTTTGTTGCTGTTTTTGCTTTTAAAACTACCCTTCCAGGAGTATTACCAATTAAAGGTAAAGACCAGTTATGGTCATGCGATTGCATTGTGAAAGAAACATTGTGGAATCGATCAGAAAAGGTTGATCATCTAGCATCTAGCATCTGCAAGGTTCTGGAATCATCAAAATGATAAGAAATTTGGCCCATTCTTCGTAAAGTTACAAGCACTATACACAGAAAGATGTATATGGGACTACCCTATATCTCTCACAGACCATGAGAGAAACAAATTTACCAAATATATGAATTAGTAGGCGGTTTCCCGGGAAAATTTTGTATCATCATGTATTAGTCAAAACATATTCTTTCACATGATTGGTAATGAGAGCTTCCATTTCATTTTTTGAAATTGGGGCGTTTCCAATACTGGTCTTTACCTTTAAGACAAAAAGTCCACCTTCTCAACAATCATGTACACCCCTCCCTACCCAGTAGCTTTATGTATAAACATGTAGGTATATTACATGTAGGTATATTACATGTAGGTATCATAAAGGCACCACATTTAGTTTAATTACCCAGGTAATTTTAATGGGGTAATTAATTATCTTAGGGTAATCATATCAGGTTGCTATTCCTATTGTTGAAAAGGGAAACATTCAAGGTACAGGTAGTAAATGAGAAGAAAGTTGTGTAATTTAGACAGGTATATTTAACAGTTTAGAGAAGTATAGTTTATGCAGAGACTACTGTAGTACGTTTACAGGTCACTGATTTTTGTTACGAAACAATATCATTTGCAAACAGATTGGTCAATATACATGTATCTGTTTCAGTGGTACAATTTTTTTAATTATAACTGTGTTGTTTGAATACCGTAGTAAAAACGTGTCTACATTAATAGCCTAGAGGCATATAGTCTCAGAAAAGTCATGAGGAATACATTTGTGCTGGACACGTGTACAGCATATATTAAGCACCATAGGGCCAGCTACATGTAGGTGCATGGAAAAACACAGCCGACGCCTCTTCATAATATGACATAGCTGTAATTTGCGATTGGGAACCATATGCACACCATGTGGCTGGTCAGACTATCATCTCCATATATTTTCTTTTTTAAACATCCTCTAACAAAAAAACAAAAAAAATGCTACCTAAAGAATTCAAGCATATTGTAAGATCTTGTTCACAAAAGTGCAGAGAATCTATCACAACCCATACTCATATTTCACAGCAAGTATTGGAGGCAACGATGAATGTTTTTGTGTGTTGTGAATTAAACAGCTGTGTATACAGCGCATGAGACATAACCAGCAGTGAATGAGGCAAGATCATTAAAAGTGATCGATGAGCCATGAGCTTGTGATTTTGACAGACAATGTTAACATGAAAGTTGCATTTAAAGCTCATTTACACTTTCGGTAAATAAAAAAATAAAAAAAATATAGAACTTCAAATTTCTCTTCTTTTACCGGTAGTCGATAAATAGAAATATATTCAAGCTGCTGTTATGATTTTCCTCCCTTTATCTAAAAAATTTATTAAGCAGATAAATTTTGATAAATGATTTACATCCATTAATCATGTCATAAAATACTCTGTAATTTCCTTCACTTTTGCACAATATTTCTACACAGTGAATTTCAAGTAAAGGGTATTTCCATTCAAGGGGTCCCATACAAAATGTTCATTTTATTTATGATACAACCAAAAAGAAAGATTTATTAAATATTAATGAGTGAAGAGTAAGCAATAACATAGGATCTTTATCAGTAAATGTGATGGTCAAATCCTTGGTATTCAACACTAAACATCTAATTTCTCAAAAATGCAAGCAATTTAGAGCAAACTATTTGGAGCCTGTGGCCCTGTGTTCTATCCTATTACCAGTAGTATATCCCCAAATCAGAAGATTACAGAAATCTATATTTTGACAGCTTTTAAAAGTTTACAGAAATCAATATTATGACATCTTCCACTTCCTCTGACTCTGTACATCATCTTTAAGCTTATACTCATAACATTATTTTGCACATGTTGCGGTTAGTATGGATAGTACATTGACACACCATACTTTGGCAGAGTAATGTAACCAAACATTCTACGGATGCCAACAGATTCATTTTGAAAGTGGACGGGTGGTATGTCAGCCACGCAGTAATGTTACTACAGTGGGGAGTCTGAAGCTGAGCAAAACAAATTAGTCTTCATTACAAGTTGTCAAGATGGGGGGGGGGGGGGGGGGGGGGGGGGAATACTTATTTCTTGCAAAACCGGGTGTGGTAAAACAGGGAAATCACCGATACAAATTAGGGATTCAAAATCAGTCATTTATCACATGATTATATCTTTTGAAAGATATCAGTGACTATTTCTTAAAGCGTATCTGCCACAGTTTACAGGAGGGATTAGACTGCCCTGCAAGGTCACTGGACAGGTGGTTATCTCATCAACTCAGCTCTCAGTTAACATAAGAAAAAGAGGATCATGGGGGACCAATGGTCACCGATTAGGCATGGTTTGTTATATAGAGGGCGCAAGTAGCTACAAGTAGTGCAGTGGGCCTTAAAATGCTGACATAATCATAATCTTTAAAATAAAAAAAGAAACTTGGGCAAAGAGTATAGCAACATATTTGTATCTCATTGCAATGAAAATTTCAACTCTAATTCTAACATTCGGCTACTTCTTAAAGTTTGAAACATATACATTGTAGTTACAGGCACCGTTGAAGAATTCTAACTACTCTGCTCATCTCTGAAGAAATCAAAAATACAATAACAATTTTAAAATCAATATTGTCTCTACATCGCCAGGTACCCAAATAGCCAAACTAGCAAGCCCTCAAAATAATGCCAAGACTTGTGCTATTCAGATCATCACACTGCATGACCTTTGACCTCCAAATTTCCAACCCCCAGAAAGCCCCAGAAAGTCAATAGTTTTCATGACTAACACACAGACATGTTGAAGCCAAATGTTTTAAGAGTGTTCTGGAGATATAACAGTCACAAATAATTCACAAACTCGCATAAACACTGATGTCGCACAAAAACTGTAGATAACAAAACTGTTTTTCATTTATTGGAGCTCTTTTAAGGACCTTTTCTCGCAACAATTGTTCTGCAGATCAAATTTTTGTTGGTATCTTATTAGGGCTCTCTTTAAATTTCTTGCAGCTCCTTATGAGCTTTCCAGAGCCAAGTGACTCAATGTTCCCATGAAAATTTTTCTTCATTAATAACATCCTGCATTACCTTCAAGTTTCATAGATGCTTGAGCTGTTGAATTCAAGAACTTGTTTCTAGGTTGTGCGAACCTACTGGCACACGTTCAAGGTCATTTAGCATGACTTCATACAACGAGAACTCAAGAAGTCATATCAGGGACAAGTAACCCAATTGTTTTTTTATGGCACATAGAATACTGTGGCTGGTGACTAGCAGTGACAACCCCAAAGCCCTAATGCTAAAAACTCATATATTTTCAAAACCTTAATGGTCTAAGCAGAATAATGTCTCCAGCATCACAGTGGCACAGGCAGAAAAAAAAAATGGAGGTCAATAAAGTTTGTAATTACTTACCGAAGTAATACCAAGAGTGTTATCACAACCTTCAAGATCTTAGCATTCTTATTAAAAATTACATCTATTAGGTAAGCTAGGACCTAGAACAAGACCTTATTTTTGAAAATAATTGTTTTGTTTCTGTTGTAGTTGTTGTTGCTTGTAAGATTTTTTGTTGTTGGGGTCTTTACAAGACTTCTGCAAGAAATCTAGGTTCTTCCACCAACCAAAGCCTGACATTAGACGATAGCCTGAAAACTGGCAACCCTAACCCCTGGTAGCTGGTGCAAACCCCCAATTAGTGGTGCAAGCAGAACAGATGTTAAAAATTAAGTTCAATACACTGAGGACTCATTGATATGATATCCAGGGTGTTATCGCAGACCTTCCTGATCTCAGAGTTCTTATCGTGCATGAGATCTATCACAGGTAAGCTAGGACCTAGATGGAGACCTTTTTTCCCCTTCTAATTTTATTGTTTTTGTTGTAGTTTTTGCTTGTGAAAATAAAATTTCTGTCTTTTCCAGATTTCTGCTAGAAATCTAGGTTTTGCCACTAACCAAAGCCTAAAAACTAGCAACCATAAAACCCAATTAGTGGTGCAAGCAGAAGAAATTTTAAAACTAAGGTCAATAAACTGAGGACTCACCGATATGATATCCAGGGTGTTATCGCAGACCTTCCTGATCTCTGAATTCTTATCGTGCATGAGATCTATCAGGTATGCTGGGGCCTCTGAGAAGATGGAAGCAAGATACAAGTCAAGGAAACTGAAATATGATCTTGATAGGGTTCGAGGAGACAGTGACTCAAGCCCAGGTCACACATGGCGCTGTTAACCGGTGATCCAATAAAGTGAAACCTGTATACAAAGACCGCTCAAGGGAAACATGAAAAGTGGTCTGTATGTACATGTTCCTTTAGTACAGGTATCAATGAAAAAACATATTCAAGGAAACTGAAATATGATCTTTATAGGGATTGAGGAGAATTTCAAGCCAAGCCCAGGTCACACAGTGAACCAGTGATCCAATAAAGTGAAACCTGTATATAAAGACCGCTCACAGGAAACATGAAAAGGACTTTCTAGGCAGAGGACCTTTCAGTACACGTTCCTTTAGTACAGGTTTTAATAGAGAAACCATATTGAAGGGGAATTAAAAAATTTGGTCTTTATAGACAGGTAGTCTATATTTACAAGTTCCTTTCATAGGTTTCAACGAGAAATAATAATAATAATAATAATATTTAATTTTTATATAGCGCCAGAAATAATAATAATAATAATAATATTTAATTTTTATATAGCGCTTAATACAAATGTCTCTAAGCGCTTTACAAATATATATTATATACCTCACTTAAGAAATCCAGCCATCTGATTGGTCGAATTGCATTCATAAACTTCAACTGTTCCTGTAAAATTCTCGGTAACCATGCATAAAACATTTCAATATTTTTAATAACCATGGTTATTAAAAAAAGTTGGTCAGCCTCCATGGTTACCCCATAGGTTTACATGTTAAAAAATGGTTTGAGCGATGGAGGATGCCGTATGTGTGCGAAGGATTGGTCGGTAATTTCAATACAATTGAATCTCGATCGATCTTACCGACAATTTTATCTTGCATTGTTGACATGAAGACGAAAATAAACTTCCAAAAACAAAAAAAACAACATCTGCCGATAGATCTTGATCTAAGTTCGTGCCAATATGCATTGCAAAAGTAAAAGAAGAGTCCGTATATGGAGCTTTTGCGAAGCATTCATCACACGCGAAGCCGGTTTCAATCCATTTTAATGTATATATTGGAAAAAACTGCCAATGTTGTTAACGGCGGGCCATAGCCGAGTGGTCTAAGCGTTGGTTTTCGGTACACCACTTGTTGTACGCAAGAGTTCGAATCCCGTCTTCGACAAAAATGATAAATATTTTTAATTTTTCATTTTTTAGTCTATTTTTTTTCGGCATATAAAAGTATTAATGACTGCTTTAATATTCGAGAAATAGTTGTTTTCATACGCTCTCGGGAAGGTTACAATTGGGCTATTCCCCTCGGCAAGCCTCGGGGAATAGCACAATTCTAACCTTCCCTTGAGCGTAATAAAACAACTATTTCTCTCAAAGCAGTCATTAATACTATACTATTACCCCGGTCATTGGATTCAGTGCTTGCCCGCACACACTGTGTGCACAATCTCCACTCCCTGGGGAGCATTCCAGCTGGGCGTTACTTGACGCTCACAAGCTGTTTGACCAACAATGACGGTCGCATCCTACCGGGTACCCATTTAACACCTGGGTGGAGAGTAGCAAGTACAGGTTAATATCTTGCCAAAGGATGTTAGTGCCGTGTCGGGATTCGAACCCTCGACCTTTGCATCTCCAGTCAAGCGCCTTAAACCACTCGACCACGACACTCCCATGTTCAAGGAAAATTAAAAATATGTGGTCTTTATAGACAGGTGGTCTTTCTATACAGGTGGTTGCTTAAGCAGGTTTGACTGTATATGCTCCAGCATCATTCGTTCAGGGCTTTTTTTAGTTAAAGATAGACTTTAATAGGGTTTGGGTTGTGATTGGGCTTAGGTTTAGAATTAGGGTATGTATGGTCCAGGGTTGACTTTAGGAGCGATGTAAGTGTGAGTAATCGACTGAGGAGCACCTGCTGCCAGTATATGTGTTCTACAACCGAACTGCAAACAGAAAAATATAGTGGCAGAATAAATCCATGTAGGTGAAATTAAATCAATGGTTGGTTGGTTGGAATTTTTTCCATATGAAAAATATATATATACAAGTAGATAATTATATATATGAACAAGTATACAAATAAATAATTAAAAAGACAGCTGGATTTCCAAACATATCATGGCTCTGTTCTTTCTGGAGGTCCAAAAAAGTATGGGTACAAATATTAAAAAGAGTACATGCGTGCGACAAATGCTCCTAGGTGTAGTCACTTCATTTTGGTGTATGCAGAAGGGTGAAGTCTACTATACTCTCAACATTTTATATTAATAATAACAATAACAGTGGGTTCTTGTATAGCGCTCATGCCTGTCAAACTTGACACTCCTGGTGCTCCACAACTATTTTCCCGGCTTTAGCCATTAAGGCGCTCTAGCATTTCAAGGCATTTATTCCTACCAGGTACCCATTTTAATCGCCTAGGTCGAGTGTGACAAATGTAGAGGAATGTCTTGCCAAAGGACATTAGTTCCCCAGCGGGACTCAAACCGCAAACCATGGGATTCACAGTCCACAGTCCAACGACTTATCCACTAGACCATAACACCTCTATATTGCCGTATAAGTTATTTTGAGGCAGTTTTCCCAGGTAATGTGAGAACAACGCTTGATAGGGGACTGGGGAGACAGTAAGATCAAAAGCTTGATAGCAAGGTTCCTGAGCCAGGGGTTAAATCAGATACCAGGACTTTATTACTGTTTGTCAAATTATAGATCCTAACGCTGATTGGGGTTTTGACATGGCTAGATTTAGGAGCAAGGTTCCTGAACCGGCATTCCCAGGCCTGGATTCAGTTAGGTGGATTAAATCAACAGGTTGACTACTGAATTTGCTCATTTCTTACAGAGACAGCAAGTTTCCCTTAGGTATAGGGTTATACCTCAAATTAACTAAGTTCACTTATTTCTTGATTATAAACTTAAAAAACTAGACGTGCACTCCAAAATTAACCTGGCTCTAGCTAGGCTATTGATTTATTATCTGACTTTGTTCGTTATTCATTCCTTGGAGAAGTTAGAAAAGGATACGTGTTAGTTTGATGATGACTTCCCTCGTTGCTTCATGGAACACCATCTGATAGAAGACATAGACGATCTGACAAACAATCTCATCATCCTCTTGCTTTGCTGCAGGTGAATAGAGTAGAACACAATAAAAACATAATAAAACAACAGAGTGATCGTATTTGTGTCAATCCCTGCATTTTACTTCCAACAAATGCATACCTGCCAACACTTGAAAATAAGAATAAAATTTTTTTAGCAGGGATCGCACGGCCTTACCATGGCCATGTATGCAGCGGCAGTGTAACTGGCAAGGTATACGCGGTAAATCTGTACAAAAAAATGAATACAAATTTGCTGCTTGATTGTGCAGCCATTCAACGCACGCAATACGCAAACTCTCAAATCATGGCACATGATAAAACAAGATAAATTTGGCTTTTAAAAAAATTGATCTTTCAGATTTTTAAAAATCAGAATATCCAAATTTTTAGGGCCTAAAAATCCGGAAAATCTGAAAATTCTGAATTATTCAGAAGGGATGGCAGGTATGCAAATGTGGTTCATAAGTTTTCAACCTCCTAGCACTATAGATTCTTAGGTTATACAAATCAATTCTGTTAATTACTACCCATATCCATGAGAAATGTTGACAAAGGGGAACGTTATCTTCACTTTTGAATACGGAATTGCTAATTAAAAACCCTCAAAGAAATGACTAATTGCCTGACCTATGAGCTTCGACTTGACATCTTAAGTCAAAGAAAAGAGAAGGCCAAATAAAATTCCATGTGAGCATAATGCATGTTGCAAATTACAATTATATATGCACTTAGCAACATTACTCGGTATTTTATATCATGAAAATGTACAAGTACTTATTATTACAACAGATTAAAGCTGACAAAAGAGGAATCCTGCTGTGCAACTGCTCCTGAAAGCATCTTAAAAACTTAAAATGTATCTTATTTCCAATGATTTTACATTGTAACAACACTCATTTTACTATACAGTGCAATTTTGTTTAGGGTTGTGCGGTCTATGTTCTTTGTTTTGGGTTTTTGTTGTTGTTGTTTTAGTTATTGTTTATTCATACTAGTATATCATTTTGTAAGATTCTTTTACTCATTTGACTGTTCATGGTGGCTATCCAGACAAACCCACTTGGGTTTTTATACAGTAACCAAATTCCTATTCTTTTACTGTCAATATTTTACTATTTTAATAATAATTATGTATAAGTAGTATATCTTTTATATTACCTGTATGTTGATGTTACTGTTTTATCATGGAATCGAATAAAGACTGAATTGAATTGAATTGAATCAAATCTTTTTGATATTCAAAATATGCAATTGTCATTAACCAGAGGAGGGATTGGATTATTGAATGGCCGACATGCTTACCATTGAGTAGCTCTATGAGAGATTGAATAATGCCAGACTTGGCCAGCATCGCAGCACAGGAGTCATCCGTTGCCACGGTACCCACCAACATCACCACTTCTAGTACTAGATCATCTTCAGCAGCTCCTAGTTAGCAGACAAGAGAGAGAGAGAGAGAGAGAGAGAGAGAGAGATAGAAAGAAAATTTTAATGGTGCTCACCATTAAGAATAACATTATTGTGGTCCTGTAACGTTAGTTTAACGACCAATAGATTTGGTAGGATCATAATTCATTAAACAGTAAGGTTTCTTGTGCAGTAAACAATACAAATGCAGCATATGCAGAACAAAATATTTCAAAAGATATATATTTTTTTAAATCAGAATTTTTCCTGCAAACATTCAATGTACATGTAGTATCTGAAAAATCATCTTGACAAAGCAAATTTTGATGCTTTAACCCCTCCCCCCACCCCCATTGAATTATTTTTCTGCACTACAAGATGATGTTCTCCATTCCTTGAAAATTGTCTGCATAAAATGTTTTATTTCTTTTTCCTTTTCATCATCTACCTGTGAAAATGAGATCCCATTACCATGCGATTAACCATAATAAACATATTTAAAATATTCAAAATAATGAAATTTAAAAAATGATTAATAAAAAAAAAACACATCTTTATTTAATTATAAAAATCTAAAACAAAACACAATCATGAATGAAGAATACCTGGTTCTAATTTCTCTTTGATCCATGGCACAAGACCAAACTCATTGATGATCATCTCATAGTCTAGGTCTGGGATGGTTAGATTAGCCATGATACCCAATGCTTCAACCACCAACTCCTCATCATTAGACTCCTTGATGATACGAGCAACGTCAGAGATGTATTCCTGGAATCACAGTTGGAAAACAAAACGATAAACTCTATAGAAAATTCTTTAAAAAATGAATAATTCATGACACGTGAGATGTGTATCAATGGTAACACTAACAAAGTATATTACACTCAATTCAATTCATTATATTTTCACATTTGAATAAAAATGACAATAACATAAAAATTAAAGAGAAAATAACAAGTATAAAACACAAATTCAAATATGGTGGGATTTGAAAAAGGCCACAGGCCTATTAATGGCAAACCTCATTACAAAAAGCGATATGTATTATGTATATGAAGTAAACATACGTTCAAAGGAATAAAGCTTTGTGTATAAAACAAAGGGCTTGGCTTTAACCAAATCTGCAATATAGCACAAAGGTGGTTCCCTCGTGTTTAATGCACAGCTTGCATTCCTTCAAGCAGTCCTTACATTCCAATTGCATCAGGATTTTCCTAGGATGCCTAAGTATGAAAATGTAAAATTATCTAAGGTTGCTATAGCAGGTTGTTCCAAGAAATTAATATGCCTTGTATCCACAGTTATTTTCAACACTCAAATTTAGTTGTCAAATATTATATGGTAATAGTCTGTTTGAGGGCATGCAATTGAACTATTTATTGGACTTATATTGATGGTAAAAGATGATTTTTTTTTCTTTTGGCAATTTAAATGATTTAAATATCAGTTGTATACTGGAGTTGGGAGAGATGAATATAAGGGCAATGAGCAAGAAAGAGATGAAAATTGAAAGAGACAAATCGAGAGAGGAAGAGCGAGAGAGAGGGAGAGAGATAGACAGACAGAGATATAAAGAGAGATATTACTTACAATAAACTGTGCTTTTGATGGCCCATCATGCTGTGATATATTCCTGATCATCTTAAGCAGCAAGGGGTCCCTAAACTTGAGGGCTCTCCTCATGAGTAACCTAAGCCCATTGCCCTCACAGATGAGCTGTGCGTTATGTTTGTTACATGCCAGGTTGATGCCAAGGGCTACGAGCTCAATCTCTAGTCTTTCGGTGGGTGATTCAAGCATCATCTTCATTATCTGTGGAATGAGGGGAGACAGAGAAAGAACAAAGATTATATTCTGGGCCCCATCTTATAAAGAGTTGCGATTGATCCAAATCAATCTCATGACCTCCCATCAATCGCAAGTTTGCAGTCTCCTTTCTCTCATGTACACAGTTGCGATTGATATCAATCGCAAATAAGTTGTGATTAATATAAATTCTGTATATCAGACAGGGCACTGGTCAAACAAGTGTATTGGAGTCTCTACTGATGCAAAGACCAAGATTCATCACAAAACTCGGTACTTAGAGTGTACCAATCACCTAAAATAATTGTTTGCGTACAGCTAGAATGTATGAAAATCAACCTCGAAAAACTTTATCCTGCATTCTATTAGCTAACAGAGAAGTAGTATGAAGAAAGTAAAGAATAAAATTAAACTTTGCACACGGCATCAGAGTCAGACTTGGTTTCTGTGTGGGCCCTATTTTATCCGAGCTTGTACAGGTGCGCCGTGTATTCTACTCAAAAGTTGCTTTTATTTTAAATGAAAGTGTGTTTAAACTTACAAGATCTCTAAACAGAAGTAATCTTAGAAGCTCATATTTTGAATATAGTATAAAACGTGGAACTATCAACATAAAGAACAAAATATTTTCTTTGTGATTGGTGCACTTCAACCATTTCATAAATGAGAGTAAGCCCACTAGATATATTTATTTGTTTGCACATAGTCTAATTTGTACCCTTATTTGAAACTAAGAACTACAGGAAATGCAGTACAGAATATCAAATTAAACAGAAGCATGAACATTCCTACAAAAAAAAATTATTACCTGCCAGCAAAAATAAACTAGATGGATGTTCGACTGCGCACAGTCGAAAATGATGCCTCCGCCATAGAGCAATTTTTCAAATTCAAGTTTGATTGTAATCCATTAACAGGTTCGCAGAATATCGTGATTACAAGTTATTTTGTATATACATGTATGCCCCTTTGGTCTTTGATCTTATGACCTTAAAATCTAATCAGGTCAATGGCTCTGCAAGATGCATACATGTCTCGAGTTTGATAGTAATCCATCCGTCAGTTGTAATAACAAGGCATTCACAAGCTATTTTTGCATACATAATGAGCCCCATGAACTTTGACCTCATGACCCCACAATCTACTCAATTCATTTGCTTTGCAAGATAAATACATGTTTTAACCCTATTTAGCCCTCATTTTTCGCGATAATTTTTTAACGCAAGAAAATCTTGCACTGAAATTTTGTGACTTTTTTCTTTCGAGTCTTGCGCATCTTTTGAAAGAAATTTTTCGAAAATCGGACCTACCATTACAAAGTCACGTGTCCTTTTGTCTTTGCATGTCAGCCCGAAAATCGCTCATTTTTGTGATTTGTGTACAAAACGTATGGAAATCTCATTTTTCAAATAAAGAGATAAAACATTGGTTATTTGGTCTTGTTTATAGTTTAGGGTGTTTATTTTGGGGTCAAAATAGTTGAATTATAGTTAGAAATGAAATAAAACAACAAAAACAATAAAATACATAAGTTAAAAAAACAAGGAAATACATAAGAAATTATCAAAACAATAGATAACATAAGGAATAACCCTGGTTTTTAAAATGTTTGTGTTGTATTATTATTCCAAATGGTCTAACAAATATATGTAGTGAGAAAGAATGCCTAAATATGAATAATGTCTGATTTATGGGCAAAAATGTGAATTTGATGACCTTATTTGCATAAATTACCATAAATATGCAAATGAGTGAGTTTTTCAAAAAATTGAAATTACCATAGTACTCTATACACTTCACTTGACATGTATGCAAATTTTCGCGGCGATCGGTCGTTTCACGGCCGAGATCATAGGGGGGGGGCCTTAGAAGCCCCCCCCCCCCCCCCCCCCCGGGCTATGCAGTTTCAAAAAAGCCCGGGCTAAATAGGGTTAATGGTAATCTGTTCATCGGTTTAATGATGTGATCATAAGCTATTTTTGCATATATAATGAGCCCTGTGACCTTTAACCCCAAAATCTAATCAGATCATTGGCTCTGCAAGATACATACATGACTAAAGTTTGGCAGAAATCCATCCATCGGTTCTTGAGATAACGTGATCACAAGCTATTTTTGCATACACAATGAGCCCTGTGACCTTTGACCTTGTGACCCCAAAATCTAATCAGTTTATTAGCTCTGCTAGATGCATACATGACCTAAGTTTGGCAGGAATCCATCAATCGGTTCTTGAGATAACGTGATCACGAGCTATTTTTGCATACATAATGAGCCTGTGACCTTTGACCCCGTTACCCCAAAATCTAATCAGTTCATTGGCTCTGCCAGATACATACATGGTTTAAGTTTGGCAGGAATTCATCCATTGGTTCTTGAGATAACGCATTCGCGAGAACGGACGGACAACCCGAAAACATAATGCCTTCGGCTACTTCGTAACGGAGGCATAAAAATTTAAAAATTGAATAATAGAATCATGTACAAGTAATCTCATTTCATTACAGAGCGGATTGATGAAACTATATGAGCATCAATACAAGGTTCCTGTAAAATGGAGTCTATTGGAGAACGCAAAGTGATCCCACTAGAGAGGATGTGATTGAGAAGGAGAATGAATGATTATCCTACCATGGGTATACAATCTGTATATGTGAACATTGACTTGGCCTTGTCATCTTGGCTTACATGGTACAGCACACATAGAACCACCAATCTATGATTGTCATTGGCTAGGAGAAAACAAAAAAAGATATATATATAATATGAATAAATGTAGTTAAAAGGAATTCTGTGGTAACAAAATCAATAATCCAATACATGAATATCAAACAAGACTGTGAAGAAGAAGTGGACAAATTAATACACATTGTAATGTATTCCAATTTTATAAGTGATTTTGTTATGGCATTCAATACCGCAATGCGTTTAGAAACAAGCCTTTTTCCTCAGGGAAAAATGAAATATAAAAGGAAATTAACTGCACTATTGTTTATAACTATAATTATGAACACTGAATGTTTTTTCAAAATTCTCAAACATTGTTTTTTTCCTGATATATAATGAATATTAGGAAAATAGACGAAAGACCATATTGACTAAGACTGTAAAAAATCTAGGTCTACAGAAAAACCAAATAAGGATGGACTCCACTCATAGATTGCAATGTCACATTTCATACGGGTACTCACCTAGAAGTTCAACAAACTTTGGAAGCATGCCCAGTTTAATCATCTTCCCTCTCAGATCAGTATCAAAGGAAAGGTTGAGCAGTAATCTTAATGTGATGTTCAGAAGATCCTGCAAACAAGAAAAGACATCATGAAGTGAAAAAGGGCCTCATTTCAATAGACCAATTTATTTACTAACATATTAATATTTCATATTTATTGATGATTCTTTCCCAGGTACCTAGTGACAAGTTATTCTGTCAACCTGTTATGAATGAATGAGCTACAATACTTGGAATCCAGTCTGCATACAGTATGTGTTGCTATGTTGGGCAAGATTTCAGGTTGTCAAGAACAACCTTTGTCTAAAAAGTATGCACAAATTTGAAATATTTTAGTAAACCAGTCTATTTTGTCTATCAGTACATAACATTTTCATTTCACCTGTGTGATGTATTCTATCTATATCTCTTTATATCCCCTACTTCATCTTCAAGCAAGTAGTATATTTCATCTTTGTTTCTGATTGAAGTATCAAATTGGAAGAATCCCTGGCAGGTTTTCATCATATCACAAAATATGGTTTTAAAAATAATAGAAAACAAACCATTAAAAAGAATGTAAATATCTGGACGTAGGTCTAAATATTTACATTTACAAAACAAAAGTAAAAGAAGAAATAAGAATTTTAAAATAACCCTTCAGTGCAATCTTAGCATCACTACAGACTGATTGGTATATTTATCATATTTTCTCACCTCATGGTCACAAGGTACCAGCTTTGCCAACCTCTCTATGATCTGTTGTTCAGCCTGCAACATAAAATAGCAAATGTTTCCAATTAGCAAATTATCATAATTTAATTATTATCATTATTTAATTATTCATACAAAAGAGCCTCTAAAACAACCTTCTTAAAATAATTTCAGCTTCCTTGTACATATTTTGGGATTTGTTTTAACTTTGCAGAGGGGGAAAATAGCTGTTGCACGTTTCCTATGCATATTTCATTGGGTTAACATTTAATTCTGAAGCCATTTAAAATGGGAATATATATATATTCAAGCCCACACCTCATGAGTACCATCCTTAGATATGTGAAATAAATGATAAATTGGCTTCCGTAAATTTAGCAGGGCATATATTCTAGCCCATCTAAAAACAGATTATGGGTCTCAATGCAAACATTTCATTCTTGTTCTCTCCATAGAAACCAAGTTCCTACACAAACCATTTACAATATCAATTTTTTTTTTTTTACATAGATGCCTAGTTTCTATGAAAGCTATTACCAATTTAACCTCGTTCTCAAGATAAATGCTGCCTAACATACCATGGAAACCTAATAGATGCTAATTTTATATAGCAACAATTTACCATTTCGTTCTTGTTCTCTACATAAATGCCGAGTTTCTTGAGGAAAGAGACGACGAGGATGAGAAGCTCAGCGTTGTCCCTCTCTAACGTCTTGATGAGGAGGCGGATGATGTTCTTATTCTTCATCTTTAGCTCCACCTTAGGGTCCTCCGATAGGTTGAGGAGCAGGTAGAAGGATACTGCACAGATGAAGAGAGGTAAAATATGAGACATCATTTATAAAGATAAAGCAGTCAGGTATCTCATGGGGAAATTGTTTAAAGGTATAGACCAGTTCTGGTCATGCCATTGCACTGTGAAAGAAACGTTGTGGAATCGATCAGAAAAGATTGATCATCTAGCATATAATTATCGGTGTGTACTTAAAAGTCCTGGAAACATCTGAAATTTGGCCCAGTTTTGGTAAAGTTACAAGCACTGTATACAGATAGATGTATATGGGACTATCCAGGCCGGATAGATATGATAATTTACCAAATATATTAATTAGAAGGCGGTTTTTATCATAACATATTAGTCAAAACATATTCTTTTCATTTCATTTTTTGAGAGGGGGGCATTTCGAAAACTGGTCTATACCTTTAAAGTCTGTGAAATATGGTCATGAATCATCCTAGGCAGTGATTTCAAAGCAATTTGGCAAGCTGAAAGTAGTATGCAATGAAATACTTATTACCTAGCTGTCTAGGAAAATTTGCTCTGGGATTGTTTTCTTCTTAAAAAACATTAGAACCAGGGTGTTACACATTGGCAAAATTCCAGATATTTAACAAAATAGGGATGACTTTGTTATTTATCCTGTAATTTAAGCAAACATTAATTTTACTCTAAGTCAATAATAGCTGAACTCTGTAGTGCTGTAAAACCATATACTACTAGTAACAGCAACATATGAATAAATTGGTTGCATAGTGTATGAAGTAATTGTACATAACTGAGAACTGCATGAAGCCATAAAATTTTCCTAAATATTGAATCCATGATGCTTACATTAAATATTCTCACTCTCGTACATTCTTACTCACCACTTGTAGTTAATAGATAATAATCACAGAGAATAAATTACTGTACCTCTTAGGAGTTGTTCTTGTTTCTTTAGGAGACCATGATATTTCTTGGTGCTCTTTTCAAAGTCTCTCTTACTGGCTGGGTTTTCTTCAGGTGCACATGAAGTCAAGGAATAAAATACATTTGTCAGTTCAAGGACACCATGAATGGTATAGTTTGTATGGAGTGCTTATTTCCACTGTTTCTACATGCATACGGTACTATTTTTGAACATATTATGTGTTTAATTACAGTACAGGTGCATTATAATGGCTGTCTTTCACTAGAACTTTCTCTAAGCCTATTACAAGCTTTTGATTGGGTACCCAATAGCAACAACAAAACATGCTTGAATCTAAAGCAGATGTCAATGGTATTATAAAATACAGAACATACCTAGAAGGAAAAAATTGTAACTGCGTTAGTTATTCTTCATACATTTTTTGTTTATTACTGAGGAAACAAAGTTACAGAGGAAACTCAGAAAAATATAAAAAGGAGCTGCATGTTTTCTAGTAGGAAGAAGACACAGGTGTTTCAGGGGAAAAAGTGCTTATGACAAGACATACATTACATTCATTCTAAAGCTATCTCTGGTAAGTACAATTCCAATTTTATATTTGTAAAGGATATCAGTCTTCTTCTTTTTGAGAAGTTCCTCGTTCCACGACAGGTGTTTCTTGAGCTCGTGCTCGACCACGCCCATGACGAGGGCACCAATCTTGAAGTGCGCTACGATGCTGTGGAACTGACTAAAGCTGGAGAAGCAGAAGAAGATGTAGACGATGTTGGTGGCCAGCTCAACACTGTGTTTCCATTCTTCACGCAGGACCCGGGCCAGCGCTCCAAGCACAGTTTCTACAAACAAAATGAAAATTTAAAACTTACGATACAGTGAGACCTGTCTATAAAGACCACCTTAGGGAGACAAGAAAAGTGGTCTTCATGTACAGGTTCCTTTAGAACATGTTTCAAAGGAAAGCAAAAATGTGGTCTCTGTAGACAGGTGATTGCTAAAGCAGATTTGACTGTAACACAGTTTATACGCAGCAATTCAATAACAATTCTCTATACTCTTGACAAATGGTATGAAATGACACAAATGAATCTTGACGGTTTATTCTAGAACTTAATCAACAAGACTACTGACGTTCTATTTCACCGACTTTATAATTTGACATTTCTAAAAGCTGAACTCACAGAGACTGAATTTCAAAGGGCAATTGGCAACCTTAACAACAATGCTACCTTTAAAAAATAAAATAAATGTAATGACAAACTTCTGTTCATCGTGTTGCCACTCATTAATCATCAACATACAAATATTTGCATTGTTGATGTCTATTTAACATTTCATCAGTTTACAACATCATTTTGCTGATAATTATCAAGTCTACTAGTGTATGTGAGGAAGCATGTCATACTTTTTGATAACATGTCTCCTCAATTCTGAAATTTTCTTACTTGTTTATTAGAGTGTACATAATATCCATTCATTTACAAATTGGTTAAGATCACATAATATGAGTTCAATGCCATTTCACTTTACACAACAGCCATAGAAATCAACGTCCCAACTAGCACTTCTGATTCTGGATATATTTAAAATTACACTTCACATTATGATTCATGTTTTTTTCAGCATGTCTCAACCATTTAAGGGATCTGGTAACTTTGTCTCAGATTCTAAACCAAAAACCTGGATTTAGCTCAAGCTGCAATGATAATTATATTTAGGTCAGTCAGGAACCCCATGACTTTTACAAGCCGATCGCCTGATTATCAAGATATTAATGATTGGAGATCGAAACCAAATTTTGCATTTGCCTAACGGTTTTCATAACACTACAGTCTATTGGGGAAAACAAGTATGGTAAACCGGTCACTCAAAGATTTTTACTTTTTTGAGGGACTTCTTGAACATTTTGAAGTGCAATTTGTTTAGAGCTTCAATATTACACCATATCACAGACACTGATAACACGTAGGGCCGTGCATCTCAGATTTAACATTGTTAAACGATGCCTTTAATGTGGAGTATAATTTGAAATATTATGTTTTTTCAACATGTCTCTACCATTAATGACAATTTACCATTTGATTGTAGTTCTTCTAAGTTGTCTGGATTTCTTGCCAGCTGTAGAATAAGAGCCGTGCCTCTGACCTTTTCAGGGTTGTCTTCATACAGCAGCTCGATGTAATCCTCTATGTCATTGATGTTTGCAACCTCGTTCAACTGAAATACGATTTGAGATTGCCCTTGAGATGTTAGTACCTATAGCATTAGTAAAGGTCTAAACACACCAAGAAGATGTTTCACAAAGATCCTAAGTTGAACTTAACTCTAAATTGGACTTACAAATTATGGAGAGCCATTTGTAGCCTTAAAACAAATATATTCAAAAGTGAATAGAATTTTTATTAATTCCACATCAAGAAAATGAATTTCCTTGATAATATAAAATATGAATGATTTGAATCAACATTTTATGCCTTTTAAAATAACTTGTACAAAATATTTTTATAGATGCTAACAGCTTTCCATAATTGTTAAGTTCAACTTTAAGTGAAACACCCCCCAGAACATACTTGAGAGGTATTTGAGAGGTACCATCTCAAAGGCAGAACTCAACTGTAAAATATTATATAAATATGCATATCAATGGTGTATTTTTTATCCTCATTTCACTTTTTGATTTATCATCCCATTTTTAATATATGTGGGCAAATCTTTCTGTGGGGATCTTTCTTTGGGAAAATATTTCTGTGAGAATCTTGCAAACTGTCACGATTTGTTGCCCTATTAAAACAGTTACAAACTTGACTAGGTATAAAATACCATGCATATTGCATACCAATTTTCTCAGTGGTAATGTGGCATAAGTTGTGCACGAAAACACAATCACCCTGTAGCTTTCTCTTATTTTCCATTTTCAGGGGGAAATAATATTTCAAAAATGAAACCTAACAAATTTTAGCTGAGAGTTGTATTAGAAATTGTGAGCCAGTTATAAATATTGTGAAATTACTCCATTTTGATTGCCAATAGCAAGGAAAACAATCTCTCCAAAGTTAGCAGTTTCCTTGCTAGACTTTCTCTCATGGGAGTTGCCATTTTGCTCAAATGAATGGCTAGCAATTGTGTACAATAACAATTAAATTTCACTGACTTTCTTTCATATACACAGTGGCACATGAAACATTGATAATCTGACTATAGCAGATACCTACCTCCGTCCCTTCGTATGGTGGGGGATCCTTGAGTTTGCCTGTTAGTTCTCCCTTCTTAGCACCAGCTGGAAAGTGAAGAGACAGATCAAAGAGAAAAGAAAATGTGAGTGGATATTAAGCTTTATCTCTTTGTGACAGAGTACAACTTTGTTCATGTATAAAACTATGTGTACAGTCAAACCTGTCTATTAAGGCCACCCAAGGGAAACAGAAAAAGTGGCCACTGTAGACAGGTGGTCTTTCTAGACACGTTCTACAACACACATTTCTTTCTCAAGGGAGACAAAAGATATGACCACTACAGACAGGTGGCCACTGTATCAACAAGTCCTTTTCAGGACTACACACACTGAAGAAAGATTACCGAGAGTTCTTTTCAGGACTCCCCGATCCTCCCTCTATCTCACATGGTGCAACCGCAAGCCTACTGTACAAGTATCATTCAATGAATATCTAACTCCAGGTGGCAATTATACATTGACAAAAGTCAGAAACTACTTTTTCCAAGCCAAGGACAAATATGAAATAAATAAATAAATAACACAGACAAATGTACTTCCTTCCCGAGATGATTTAAAGTAGCCAGTGAAAATACAGGTTTTCTGACAACGATGAATCATAAACACATCAGCATTTTCCCTAGCTGTCATGGAAATTCACAGTTTCTGGATCTTGATGGTGTATTATATTAAAATTGAGCTTTGCAAGAGATGCTAACTTATTTTCAAGGAGTCACAACTCTTTTGAGAAAAAAACAATCACCTTTTTGTGTCGTTTCCTTTCTATTCTGAAGGTAATATAAGAGTTGTTCTACTTCTGGCAGTTTAGATGGGTGGATGAGCTTGCATTTCTCAACGACTTCTCTCGCCAGAGCTGCAATATCTGTGGTGGAGTTCAAACTTCTTAAACGAATACTGCAAGAGAAAGAATCATGATTTAATATGAATGATGATAAACGCAACAGCTTTCAATTTTTGTCAATGGGTAGTCAACCTATTTGAAACCTCAAGCCCCTCCTACTACCCATCCTCTCCCACCGGTGCTATAGTTCTCTTTAGAACTATAAGCTCAAGAAAGACTACCAACATTCCTTCTCAGGACTACATACACTCAAGAAAGATTACCAACAGTCTTTTTCAGGACTCCCCAAGGGCCAATTCTCCCCCTCTCACATGGTGCAACCGTAAAGCCTACTGTATGAATGTTGTGATGTAGCTGATCTATCCCTTACCATAAGCTTTCTATCCTTTTGAATGAAAAGTTATTTGATTGTACATCATTAACTTCACAAAGTCATTATTTTTCAGATAAAACAAGCTCGGGTTTACCCATCTCCAATCTCCTGCCAATCCTTTGCTGATAATCATGAACGACTTTTACAAGAAAATTTAATCAAGTCATAAGAGAAGTCAATTACCACTGCAATCATTATAATCTATGAACTTCCAACATAATTTTTGCATCAATGCCAAGACACTGCAGTTTTGTTTTCGTAATACCAGATTTAGATTACAATAGAAATCAATTCTTTTAATACATTTGTGACACTCGTTTTTACATGATCATAATCATATACCGGAGTGTTGGCTCAGTCAGTAGAGCGTCCGCCTCACAACCGGGAGGTCGTGGGTTCGAATCCCGGCCGCGTCATACCAAAAAACGTTAAAAGATGGGAGTTGTTGCTACCTTGTTTGGTGTTCAACAATAGGGGATAGAGCAACGTCGATCTGGCGCTGCTCAGTGGCTGCCGGGCTCACGATCAATTGGGCAAAAAGAATTTCCGTTTCTGTTTAATAAAATTTGGAGTGGACTATTAGGCTATTATTATTATTATTATTATTATTTTTATTAAAGTTAATTATTGACGATTGAAATGTAGGGATCATTCCATTTTGTAGAACAGGGCCCCGTCTTATAAAGATATCAATTGCAAATTATTTGTGATTGATATCAATCGCAACTATGTACATAAGAGATAGGAGACTGCAAACTTGCGATTGATTGGAAGACTTACGATTAGTTTTAATCAAACGTAACTCTTTGTAAGACAGGGCCCAGCATAGTTATGATGGTACACACAGAATCACATACTCACATCTTTTGGCATTCTTTTCTCTCCCCGAGCATGGGGTCTCCCATCTCACCCAAGATGGTCGCCTCCAGCTCATAGTTGACAACAAGGGCCTTCTCCGTAGGGTGAACATCGATGCTCCCTCCTTTCACCTTCCTGTAATGATTAAAGGGAAACAATGAAATGGCCGTGAGGAATACTACCTATTACTCTTCATAAAATTAATTCTAACGCAGCATTTATTGTATTTCTACTTTGTTCTCTCGACGACAGCATCACACAGTCATTTCCGGCTAGCACTGTTGCTGGATCAAACGGAAACCGAAAGTACCCTCGGACTTCGTCTGCGAGGGGATAACAACCTTAAATCCAGCTCCAAACTTTCTCGTTTTAGAACTCTATCCAAACGTTACAGTTTTCAAAGAATGTAATCCTTGACTGAGTAGACCCTTTCTTATCTTTCTCATTCTCACCTCTTCCCTTTCTTCTCTTTCTCATTCCCACGTCTTCCTTTTCTTCTCTTAAGCTTTCTCACCACTTCCCTTTCTTCTCTTTATCATTTTTGTTTTTGTATAGCTCTTGTGCGTTTGTGATATCTGCTGATAGTTAATGGTCAGTCTTTTTGTATTTCTTCTTCTTATTGTACATAACATCATACCTGCCAACCTGAGACAAGAGAAATTAGGAGTAAATTTTTCTGGATGGACTACGAGGTCACGAACCACCGAAGGATTGGGGTAGTAGCCCGTAGATTGGGGGGGGGGGTACACAGGGGGTGACTGCGGAACTAACGATCACGTTCGGGCTGAGCTGTGTACATCTTCTATGAGCGCGAGCGCGGATGTCGTCGTGATCTGGTTATCAGTGCTGTGTTATGCTTTAGTCTTATATAACATACATACATATTGGTATTTATTGAGCGCCTTTACATTAACATGCTCAAGGCGCTTTACATTTCAAAATACAAACATAATAGTTATATACTCTCCAAGTGCATTACACTCTAAAAAAAAAATTTTAAAAATTTTTTAAAAAATAAAAAAATAAATTAACAAAAAAATCGGAGTTTTGAGGCATGCAATCGGAATTCGGAGTTGGTATGAAAAATGCGGAGGAACTCCGCCTAAATCGGGGTGGTTGGCAGGTATGTATACATGTGTACCTAGTAAGTTTTATTCATTTCGCCAGTTAATTTATTATTACGTTTACCTTGTCGGGGGCCTCATGTACTAGCACAAGTTGCTTTTTACAGGTCCTGGCCTATTATTTATTCTGTATTTATGATTTGTAATGTGTTTTATGATGCCAAATAAACTGAATTATCATGACATTAAATTTAGAGGAATACAACCCATATTAACTTGTTCCGACTACATGAACATAGACTTTGTCAGAGGCACTATGTCCTTACTCTTTCTCTCTCTGACCCTCTCTCTATCTCCCCCTCTCTTGCTCTCTCTTTCTCCCTCTCCCCTCCTCCCCTTCTCTCCCCCTCCCTTCTCTCTCTCTCTCTCTCTCTCTCTCTCTCTTCCCCCTCTCTCTCTCTCTCTCTCTTCCCCCTCTCTCTCTCAATCTCTCTCTCTCTTTTTATAAAGTTTATAACTTTTTAGTAGTTCTCTGGGAATTTTGTAGACTCTGTTGATTCCTAGATAATCTGAGTTGACATCTGCTTCCGGATGAGGAAAGAAAGATCATGAGAGTTCAAATAACAGGAAATGACACCCACCTTATATTCCGCCTAGGCCTATTTTGTGAAAATATGGGGAAAGCCCCCAAACATGATCTGGCAAACAAAGTATACTATCTTTGCTGCAGGCCTACTTGTACTAGGCAGATGTCCTGATGGTTTGCAGACACAAAGCCTTGCCAGTCGCTGTGCGTAACAGTGTCTGCACAGTGTGACAAGGCTAAGGGCATACTGCAAAGGGCACATCCCTCCTCTGACACCCCCTGTCCGCGCAGACGCGGAATACAGCTTCTGTCTGCTTTCATTGTGCCCCCCCCCCCCTTTCCAAAATTCCTGGATGCAGGCCCGCATGCATACTCATTCATATTACTAGCCATGCCCATCCGTCCTATGTCTGAACGATTTTTCAATTTTCCCTTTTGGATTATTTTTCACCATCATGGTTGGATAATTGCAAAAATCACAAAAGGACACATTTCAAATTTCAATGCTCACCGATGTTTCTAATTCTATCAAAAGATACAGCCCCCCAAAAATCTAGGCAATATGCCCGGCCCCCCACTCCGTGAACGGAGGGATACCACGCATGTTCCCAAACTCTCCGGCTCGTAGCAAAAGAAAAAGGTCTACCCATATTGACTTTACACCCCGGAATTTTGCTGAAAAGGGGGGTGTTGAAAAAGGCTTGTATAACAAAAGAAAAAGGTCGACCCGTATTGACTTTACACCCCAGACTTTTGCTGAAAGGGGGGGGGGGGGGGGGTCGCTGGGAACACGCATAGGGTAGCGCGCCCAGTATTCGGTTTATTCCCAGTATATGGTCAGACAGCCGTTTCAACAGCTGTAACAATTAAAAATAGTAATTTACATGTATGAGCCACGAAACTTGCACAAATCAGGCAGCTGAACAACTTTTCTTAACTCTCAAAATTAAATCAGATTTAGGGCTCGAAATTGGTCAGTGTCGCACAACTTTCTGCACTTCTGCGTTCTGTTAGCACATGCGCTAACATGCATAGCCATAAGTAGAAGTCTATTGCGAAACAACTACGTGTGCTGTCACAATGAATTTAGTATGTGTGTGAAGAGCTCTTCCGCGTTCGCTCCATCGCAGCGAATTTGCAAATGATGCACTTGCCGATGTGCAAGAGGTATTTATACCCTTGCCATGCGGTATCGCTCGTCCAGTATTCAGTCAACGCATTGACATTCAGTGCTTTATCGCGCAATTGTGTGAAAATAGTGCGCAAATACGCCTCGCTCCTTGGCAACGGAGATACCACGCACAAATCCCATGACCGAATTCTATTCGGCGCGACCAAATTCTGGGCAGAAAAATGCTCCGCCTTCTTTCAGAAGTATTTTGCTTATCATCATTCAATATTTTAAGTGACTATAAAATCCCGTCAGAGCCTTAGAGGAATAAATTTCTTTTCTTTTGATGGGTAGATTGCCAAATAAAAGAGGTAAGAATTAAAGATATTAGAGATTTCCCTGCAATATTCATAGCATTTTGATCAGAATCGACGAAAAAGACGTACACGCAGAGTTATGTTGTTTTGCTAAATTTAGCCAAACAGCTGTATCACTCGATATGCAAGCGTATGCTAAGCGTAGGCATGTTATGCGCAACTTGCAGCTTGAGCCACGTTGTCCCCGCGCTATTTGCCATTGACTAGTATGGATAGCCGTTCGCACAATAAAACACTGAAGTGAATAAACGTTAACGTCAATGGCAATATCGCGGAGACAACGTGCACGTTTAGCTGATTAAAAAAATGTGGGAAGGGTATTTTCAAACTGTTGCAGCGAATGATCCCTTGGGGCTAGCGAAAAAAATAGCACCTGAATATTATCCTTACGTCTAGCCCCACTTAAGCCACGGCTCAGGGAAGTGGCAAATTTTGGAGCTAGGATGCAAACAACATTTCAATCGCTGTTTTGACCAAGATATTTTTAGAATTCCGGGGGTGGCCCCCTATGGGGAATATGGAGAAAAACCTGCTCTTTCATATGACACCACATTTATTGAGTTTCATCTTCAGGATAATTAAGGTTTGAATTTCAATTTCTTCATAAAATCATTGACCAATTTTGCAAGCCGTCTTTGCCAAGATGAGCGACAACTTCCGCGACAATGAGTTGTCACTGCTCCGAATCCGTCATATCTTTTTAATTGCTGTAAAGTGCCATCACAAGTCAGTTTGTTGCTATTCCATGGGCCGCGAAATGTACGATTAGTTTCACTATCATTTTGAGAAAAATATAGACGAGTTCGGTACGTAATTCTCTGGGATGCGAAATGCAAATGTAAAAACGTGATAATACAAATTATACAGAAATTTTAAAAAGCTGAATATAAACATTAAATCACAAATCATTACACTATAACATATAAATAAGAGAGATAAGAATGTAAAACACCGTTTTCCATTGTCGATCCAAAGTCTTTTCGTAGGATACCGTCATACCTTTGGGGCCTATGTGCATTATTATTCCCTCTCTACATACTTCTTCAAGATTATATTTTAAATATCAAATCAATTATAGATCTATAACAAGTATTTATGAGCAGGCGCGGATCCAGGGGGGGGGGGCGAGCGTGCCTTGGCCCCCCCCCCCCCCCCCCCCGCAAAAAAAAAAAAAAAAAAAAAAAAGGAGAGAGAAGGAAAAGAAGGGAAAGAGGAGAGAAAGGGAAAAAAAGAAGAGGAAGAAGAAAAGAAAAGAGGGAAGAAGGAGATCGGGGGGGGGGGGAGGACTTGCCTCCCACTTCCCCTTCCCCCCCCCCCCCCAATAAAAAAATAAAATAAAAGAGAAGGAAGGAAAGGGAAAGAAAAAAGATAAAGAGGAGATAAAGGGAAGGCAAAATAGGAAGAAGAAAAGAAAAGAAGGGGGATATCAGTTGCAATTTTCCCGCCAACAAGTTGTGGATCGAGGGGGGGGGGGGGCAAAAGACCCTAGCCTCCCCCCCGTCCCCGCTACAAAAAGAGAGAAGGAAGGAAAAGGAAAAGAGGAGAGCTAAAAGGGAACAAAAAGAGGAAGAAAAAAAGAAAAGGGAGAAAAGAAGCGGAGATCAGTTGCGGTTAATCCCGCCAACAATGTGTGGAGCTGGTTGGGGACCAAAATGACCGTGCCCCTCCCCCCCCCCCCCCCCAGCAAACCTAAAAGAGAGATAAGTAAGGGAAGGGAAAGTGAAAGAGGAGAGAAAGGGAAAGGAAAAAAAAGAGAATGAAGAAAGGTAGGGGATATCAGTTGCAATTTTCCTGCCAACAAGGTGTAGATCGGAGGGGGGGGGGGGGGGGGCACTGGCATACTGATAGGGGAGGGGGGGGTTGGAGAAATAGAATCCAAACGTGGTTTATTTATAATTCCATAACGGTGGTTAACAAATAATGCTGAAATGAGATAATTTTCCTCACTTCATGCGTTTGTTGGAAAATGACAAATTCCTAAATTTACAGCCAGGCAA